CCAAACTCTCCTCAAACCTGGACCAGATACTTGCACTTAACAAGGCGGGACACCCAACACAAAAAGACTCTCCAGGAAGAGATTGTGACTGTTTTTTTTTTTTTTTTTTCCTAAAATCTGACGGTGTCATGTTTTCTATTGAAGCAACATGTATCATTTTGATGTTGTGGCGGGATTGTGATATATATCTTTTTTTTTTTTTCTCTTAGCTGGTGTGTCAAAAAAAAAAAAAAAAAGACCACACACACTTGGTGTATTTGTATGTACGGTATGCATGTTAATGTTGTTGTCTCACCACTCTCGTCCCTTTCACACCTGGAAAAAAAAAAAAAAACAGAACTCATGCTCCCTCATCAGTTATTCAATGGTGTAGAGTTTCCCCGACATTTAAATGCCCCGATAAAAAAGAGATGAATTTATTTGTGATATTTTCCAAGACGTTTGCTCCACTATGGTGTATTTAATTAATAAAAAAAAAAAATATGGACGGTTGACTGTATTTTGAGATGGCTTTGTTTTTCCCAGCGCGGACGACAACAGTGTCGCCGAGTTTCACCATCCTGCATGAAATTGGGTGAACATGACACGACAGCACGCAGGAAAAAGTCTCAAGGCGGCCATTTTGCGGCAGCAGTTTGGGGTGCAAATTCCAGGCCTCGTGTTTCACGAACTACGACTAGGGTTTGTCCAAAGGAGCCCCAGTCGGAACCAGGTACAAAAGTAAATTATCAAGACTTTTAGCCTAGGTCGGAAGCTTTTAAAGTTGAAGTATAGACCAGCATGGTTTTGTTGTGGTGTCACCAGCAGCTAACAGGGCAACAGCAGCCTGCTGCTCTTGCTGGTGGGTGTCGTTAGCAACCGGGAGCCAAAGCTCAACAAAGGAGCCAAGATGCGTCCTCCCGAACCTTGAGTGACGGCGCCGCCCGTTCTACCAAGTGGTTAGAAAGACCGACACGCTGTTGGTACCCTGCTGCTAGCCGGTGACACCGGCAAGACCCCAGTTGGTCACTCGCTCCCGGCAGAGCCGCTGCAACACGCCGACTCTGCTCCCGGGTGACGCCAACAAGGCAACAAACCCACGCTGGTCTATGTTGCCTTTTTCCAGCAGTGTTCGCCGCGCCGAGCGGATGAGCCTTACACGATCCATCCATTTTGGACCAAAATTCCACAGCTTTGTGCATTGACTCAGGGGGGGCCGAATCAAACTCAGGCGTCAAAGTTTGCGTTTGACGATACGGAGGCGGTCCATTCCCATTGGCTATTTTTCCGCCTCCATCTCAACGACCGCGGCGAAGACGGATAAAACACGCACGGCCTCTTTGTGCTCTCGGCCATTCATCACCCGGGCCGGCCGACACAAATGGAGGAAAATGTCCCTTTGAAAATTCAATTAGAGCGAGAGGGACGTGTCTTTCTCCCGCTCCCTCGCTCGCTCTTTCTTCCGCACTCTCACTTGGCAGCCGCAAATTGAACGTCCTATTTGCACAACAAATTGCTGTTTGAAGTCCTCGCAGGACCTAATGGGTCTGAAGGAGGAGCACCCCCGCTAATGGGCCCTGACGCTTATCTGCCGCTCGGGCGGGACGAGACCGCCATGTAAAGTGTGCCGCCGCTTGACACGCGCTAAGAGCGCTTTCAGCACGCCAAACGATGGGCTGGTCTCGTTGCGCTGCGTTAGAGGATTCGTTTTGAGATTTTAACTGCCGATTGGAACTGCTGCCGGGGGGTTTTGTGAAACAACTGATCAAAATGGCCCACGGGTCAAAAAAATTTGAGCAACCTGTTTAGACAGCGCTCAGAGCAGTGGTTTTGTTGATTTTTTTTTTTTTTGATTGAAACTCCGACAAGGACAACTTCAAATGTTTCACTCAAGTCAACTCACAAAATTGCTCTGAAAACTGTTCGAAAAATTTCGCAAACTTTAACAACCCCTGTTCTTGACGCGTGTTAAGTGCACCAATCAATTAGTTCCTTTTTGCCCCCATCCTAATTAAAACAACTGTCAACATTTTGCCGCAAGCAGTTCCCGGGCATTTTTGATTTTATTTTTTGGGTGCGCCCTTTAGTTAAGCCAGCCCATAGGTCAAGAATTACAACATTTGTTCAGAGCAGCGTGTTTTGATCTGAAGCATTTCACCTCTTGACGTGGTCAGAGCACGTTAAATACACCAATCGATTGGTTACTTTGCCATTCGGTGGTTTGACATTTTTTCACAAATTTAAGCGGCTCCTAGATTTTTTCAGAAAAGATGGGTGACACGCGTCGGTCAAAAAGGCCCACGGGTCAAGATTTTCTGCACCTGCTCTGAGCACCCGGCGAAAGAACACTGAACACTGAAAATCGACGGCTTTGCTCCTTTGTAGTCGTAGGAGCAAAATACTTCAGAACAAACCAACGTGACATCAAGCTCTTCTCTTATTGGATACAATTTTTTCAACAGGAAGAAGATTTGACGTTGGGACATTGAGCACGTGCGACTTTTGGACATATATGCTAACTGCTAGTACATGCTAATACCGTGATTATGTTGGCTAAGTCATCTGTTGCTGAAGTCAAATGACACCCGTGTTCCTTGTCGGTGTTCTACCAGTCTCGAATTATCGATTATCTTTGTCATTTCAGGCCAAGAAGCTAATTTATTTTTCATGATAGGAGAGTAAGCCAGGGTGCCCAAATCCGGTCCTCGAGAGCCCCGATCTGACAAGTAAGCCCAATGTGCCCAAATCCGGTCCTCGAGAGCCCCGATCTGACATGGTTTTCCCTCCTCCCACGCATCCGATTCAAATGATCCGGATCCTCATCAGGCGTCTGCAGAGCTGACAAAAGATGGAAGTAAAGCTTCATTTTGAAAACAGCCTTGCCTCAAGACTTACCGGCATTGGCGTGATCCGAGTCCAAATGGACCGCCATGCTGAAAACGGCAACAAAAACAAGCCGTTGGAGCAAAGAGCCAAGTCACCGATGCATTTAGGTCGACTTGATCCCAAATCAAACAATCTGACGGGATAATTCCGCGTCGAAATTGCGCTCTGGCAGCAGCCGCGAGCCAACACTTTGCGCCAAAACTGCCCTTTTATCTATTTATTTATCGTTTCGCATTAATGACTTTGGAGAAGCATCATCCTCATTGAGTTGAGCCGCCGCTTTTACATTTAAGGTGATTTCGAGCACTCAACAAAAAAAAAAAGCAAATCAAAGCACTCAGGTGCCGACTCGACGGGCTGCGGCGGCGTGGGCTCAGGGAAAAAAGTCATCGTGACAATAATCTTTCATGTTTATTTTGGGTCTGATTTTTGGCTTTGGCTTTGTAATCCACGTGCTAACGGCATTATGTCGTGCCGCACCACGCTAGGATTTTTCCATTAAGAGATCCGCTTGCGTCCATTAAGCCGTTAGCGCGCGCACGCGTTTTCACACAATTTCAACCCCCCCCAGAGTCAGCTTTGTTTGTAAGCATTTTATTGGTTTTGGATTTACGCATTTGTGTACGTCATTTTCATTTGAAGGTGTTTATTTTCATGTGCTTGTGGAACGGATTTTTCTTATTTGGTTGTACATGTTCATGTATTTAAGTTGCAATTTACACATGGACTCATTCGGCAAACATGTTGGGATTCGCACGTTTTTATATGAGTGTTACACTTGATTGGCTTGTGGAAAGGTCGACGCTTTTCAGAGTTACGTTTGGTTCATTGTCAGTTGAGAGTATTTTTAACGTGTATGATTTCATCGGAGGAATGGAAGTGGGGTTGGTCATGAGCCCTGCGGCACACACCAAGTTGGAAAGAGGGAAAATCAGGTGAGTTAAAAAGAAAAAAAAAAACAATTCATGTATGTAAGGAGAGTCAGCCGTGCTCGAGAGTGTCGTCTTCCCATAGACGATCCGTCAGGTTGTCGGCTTTGAAGCCGACCGGCAGCGTAAACCGACACCCTCAAAGGCGCCCTTAATGGCCGCCTTAATGCGCTTGATGACTGTATGATGGTGAAGGTGCTGTTAAAAAAAAAAAAAAAAAAAAAAAAAAAGGTATCGTGAGTTTGGCCTCAAGGAGGACACGGAAACTGGATCCCGTCCATTATGTGCGCTTTTTACTTAAAAGGCTGCTGACAAAAAAAAAAATACCAGCTCGTCTTACAGCCTCAAAGGTGGAAATGTTCGCACAAAGACGGTGTTAAAAAAAAAAAGAAAAAAACAGCTGCTCAGGCACTTTGACGAACTGAAGTGTGAAAGGAGGTCACTGGCAGAAAGTTGACGCGTTGTAATAAGACAAAATGATTTGAATCAAGAGTCGCATCTTTCAAAACCAAATGAAAACTTGTTGGCTTTATTGGTTTTTTTTTTGTTTTTTTGGGGTCCACCCCTAATCCGCTTCCATAATTAATTTGTATGTTTAGAATTCCGTATGTCTTTGTGTACTGGATGTATCATTCTGGACTTGTTTGTGTCGCTATTTTTTGTATTTGTGTCATTCAAATAAAGGTTTGGATGCAGCTCTGGCTTAGCATCTTTTGGATAACCGAAGTCGTGCGAGTGATTGGTTTCACGTGTTTGGAATCGTTGGCTTTGTTTTGGCTATTTGTGTCACTGTTACCCCGACTGTGTTTATTTCTAATGTGCAAGGCGGCGGTGGCGACGGCGGTTATCCTGGATAACTGGCGAGCTCGGAGAAGCCGCGCGTCCTTTCCGTCTTGTTCCTGGGCGCAACGAGGCGCCTCATAAATAAATGCATTTGCCCTAATTAGCCGGCGCGGCGGCGCCTTCTTTTGGGAGACGAACAAGATGAAGATCACGACGATGGTGATGATGACGAGGAAGAGGGCACGGGGAGGCGTCCTTTTGGAGCAGATGCGAACCCCAACAGCTCCTTTCATGTAAATCTATTAAGCCGCCCCTCGCTGGGTGCTGATCCTTTTGCTCCTCAGGCCGCCAGCTGGACTTCGCCAATGCCGATAATCTGGAAACCGGGTATCATCAATCTGGGGTG